TTTTCATATAGAACATTTCAGGTGCAATCCATGGCATTGGTAGGGTGGGCGGGGACACTTGGAAAACTCTTGCCTGAAGATTTGGGGAACCAGTGGCAAACTGTATCAACGATGATTGGACTGGGGAGATCAATATGCTGACACAATATAAGGCAGCTCCTTCTTCTTCCATAACCTTCAGTTAACATGGGTTGATTAAAATTGAAAAAAGAAGAGGGTGATGGAAAACTTATCATATGGCACAGCATTCTCTAATATAGCTGTGACACAGTCCTCTGGGGAATTGCTATTTAGATGCCGGTACGGTGAAAGTTAAGGATGCCCATGGGAGAATTAGCAGCCTTGGGAGAAGAAGACATGGTAATCAAGCTGGTATAAAGCCTGATGAAGCCACAGTGTGTATTTTAGACATACTACAGCTTTTAAAATCCTGGAAGTAGCTTTGTCAGCTCTATCTAAAGTAACAGAATAATTTTTGGTCAGTCAAATTTGAAAAGCTTTCTGCTATCAAAAAAAACATGTTTGAGAATGGGCTTGGCATTGCAACCTGACTATGACATGGGAATGGTGGTGATCTCCCCCAGTTCCAGATGCTGCTGCCAGCGCCCAACCAAAGAAAACAGATCAAGTTCATTCAATGACATATGGCATCTTATTCAGGTTCTCCTATTGATTCATCTGGTGTCTTCATACATTCCATTTGCTTTTGCAAAGCAAAAGTCTGATCTCATTGTTCTGTTGAAATTTTGCACTGAGCAGAAGGTAGTAAAGGCAGGCTTGGTTGTAGTCTCTCTACCTTGGGTTTGCTCCTCAACTAACTTTTCCCTGCTCCATACTCTTTTCCTTGTTTTCTATCACCTAGCTTTTCTTCCAATATTTTGCAAACTGCAAAATGTAAAACTTGTAATAAGAATGTATTTGTTTGGACTGAGTGTGCCCAGCCCCACTTAGTACATTTAGACTTTATTCCAGTGCCTGCCCTCTGGAACACCAAAGCCCCCAAGATCAGGTTGGCCTCACTCTTGCTGGTCTTTCATAAAGCGTTGAAGACCTGGATGTGCCTTGGGACTGGGGCTAATTGTTTCATTTGTTTTCCTTGGTGACCATAATAGGTCCTTTGATGGGCAGCCATACAAATTGATTAAATAAATAAATACAGAGCTGTCCAAGGAATATTCAGAAAGCCACTAATCGACCTTAGATTCTGTGGGCAAAAATGTCACTTACTGGGTGCCAAAGCTCTACCCATATCAGATATGTGTTCACACAACCACATGAAACAGTGAGTAGCTGAGCCCAAATTCAGTCCCCTGGCTTCATATCCCATTTTCAACCTTGTAACAAATGACAACCCAGCAAGTGGGGGGCATCTAAGTGTGTACAAAGATCCACTGGGACAATGGCCACAACCAGTCCACACCTATTTGGAAGACTTGATATGCTTAAAGAAATATATTCCAATTTTGTTCGTGCAGCTCAGTGGGTTGCCTTGAATAAGCCCCTTCCAGGCAGTTTTAAGGCTGCAACCCTCAGTGGGGCTCAGATACAAGTAAGATTGCACTGCTAGTTAAGTGCTTGCATTTTCAGAGGCCTTCCCACTTCTTTATTCAGACTGATTTTTTTCCCCTGGGCTGTTCTGGGAAAAACAAGTTCCATCAACGTAGCTTGATACCCATCCCTTACGGAGGTTCCTCCATCTCCTGCCACTCTTTCCCATCTTCTTCCTATGTACTGCTTCAACCACCCCATAAATCAAGCCGCACTTACCAAGATTTGCTGGAGATACTTGCACTTCTATCTAGGGTTGAGGCTGTCAGGCAGAGGAAATGGTCTCCTCCCATTCAAAGCAGCATCTGTCTAGAGGATCCAGACCAGCTCATGCAGATTTGAATACATTTGCATCCTGCCTGCCTATAAGCTGTCTGGTCCAAACAGAGATGGCCTTGCCCAATGGCTTGGATTCATGTAGGGAAAACATCTAGGTTTTTTTTATTATCGTTGTTGTTGAAAACCTTTAACTAGGAGGAGCTACAGGGCTCCCAAGGCCAGCCCCTCTCTCAGCATCTGCCATCCCAGTTTTCCATTGATTTTTCTGAAGTGCAGGCTTGCATCAATAATGCAACAAAATGGGGGCAGGAAGGATATGGCGTTAAACCACATTAAAGTGGTTTGCTGGGAAATGAGATGCAAAGGACAGTAGACAGAGAGGCAGAATCTTGCAGGAAAGAAGGGCCAGCAGCCAGAAATGGGACGGGTATTTTTGAAGCCTCCAACTTTCCATGATCCACGGAACTGCTGGATTGAGAATGGTTGGGATTTGGGAGCACCGAATTATGGTGGTTCTCTTCCTTCCTTTGCAACCGATACCGGCCAGTGTTGGCAAGGGGGGAGAGGTCACTCCCTAGGCCCGTTTTGTGGGGTGCCACAGGGCTCCACTCTCTCCCCCCTCCTGTTTAACATCTACATGAAACTGATGGGTGAGGTCATCTGCCAGTTTGGGATCTGATACATTAGTAAGAAAATGATACCTAACTATATCTTTTAACCCCAAATCACCTAAGTAAGGCTGTTGAAGTTCAGAGGCTGTGTGGGCCTGAATGGGGAGAAACTGGCTGCAGCTCAATCATATCAAGACTGAGGGGCTGTGGCTGTTGGGACTGCCCAAACCCAGGGATTTTCCATTTTCTCCTGGATAGGATTACACTTCTCCAGTCAGGAGTGGTGTGTAACTTGGGGGTTCTCCCATACTCACGGCTCCTGCTTGAACAGCAGATAGCAGCTGTGGCCAAGAGGGCCTTGGCACAGTTCCATCTGGTGCACCAGTTGTACCCTTCCCTGGATTGGTCAGCCCTCCAGTCCCTCACACGTTGATCATCTCACGGCTTAATTATTGCAATGTGCTCTTCATGGTGCTGCCTCTGAAGGCCACTCAGAAGCTTCAACTGGTCCACAATACAGTGGCACAAGCAGTGGTAGTATTGCCTCAGCATGCTCACGTGACATCTCATGCTCTGTGAGCTGCACTGATTGCCAGTGTGCTGCTTCCAAGTGCCGTTCCAGGTGCTGGTTATTACCTACAATGCCCTGTGTGGCATGGAGCCTGGCTCTTTGAGGGACTTGTCCTCCTTAGTTTCTGCCTGCACAGTATGATCCAGCAGGGGGGCTCATTCCAGGTCTGTAAGAGTGACATATTTTGGGACCCAGGAAGTGTGCCTTCGGTATAGCTACACGTGTCCTTTGGCACAGGCTCCCACCCTGATGACTTTCTGGAAGGCCTTGAATATCTGGCTGTTGACCCAGGCCTTGGGGTAGGGGGGATGGGTTTCCCATTTGTAATGTTTTATATTTGCTTTGTTATTTGGACTGCCATCTTACAATTAGTTTGCGGTTATTTTTGTACGTGTTTTGGTGAATTTATATTTTTTATGTGAGCCACCGATCAGGCGGCATCCAAATTGGATGGATGGATGGAACTGCAGGTGTTTTCCTCACTCCCCGTATCTAGCTTTGAGGTATCAAGAGGGGCTAGGAACTCTCAGCCTGTGAGCTAAATGCAGATCTCCAGGCCTCTTGACTCTCACAAGCTGTGTTCTTTCCTCAGCTCTTCCAATCGGTTAAAGTATTCTTTACCCCATCTAGCTCTGCCCCCCAACTGAGAAACTGGAAGGAACTTTGTACAGATTGTACAAAGCATGTATTCACTTTCTTCCCTATTGCAGTGTGATTTCCCCCCCCCCCCCGAGGGAAAAATCACCTGGGAAAAATCACCTCAGCTGCGCCTCCTGCTTCGGAGTCTGGTCCCACTCAACTCTGCAATGCAGCCCCCAGGAAAGTTCAACTAATAATTTGGATTATAAGAGGGAAAACACTCCTTCTGAATGTTGATGAAGATTCTCAGTCATCCAGGTGGAATTATCTGGAGGTTGAGTCATGGCAACCAGACTTTTCTTTTGATTTGATGTTTCACTGCTTCTCCAAGCAGCTTCAGTCTAGAAAGTTGGTTGGGGAGACCCCAAAAATGTCTTCCAGGGTGGCTGCATTCCTCACTGACATGATGGGCTCGTTGAAGGGACAATAGGAGTGTGATTAGTAGTCTCTTTGGGATGAGAATGTCTTACTCCTAATCCCTCCTTCATCCCCAAGTGGGTCTTTAAGTGCTGCCTCCCTGGTGACCTTGTGGTCTAAATCTTCCTGGGGACTTCTGGACCTGGCACTTCTGGAACCACTGTCATGGAAAACAGTCCCATCCCCAACGTTCTCAGGATCTCTTTTGACAGAATATAAAGCACAGAAGAGGCTGAGAGCAAATTCTCTATTTGTATTTTTTGTAGGCTGATGCTTATTTGTTTGGCCCAAGTTCACACCACATATAGTCCATCAGTGCTGAAGTTGTTCACAAACCTTGTCTGAACGTGCACACTCAGTGTCTGTGACTGCAATTTCAAAGGATGAGTAGTTGAGTGAGCAAGCCTTCCCGACTCAAAACCACCACTGATAAACCTGGCAGCGTATCCTAACCCAAATGTTCCTGATGCTGGCCTATTGGTTGGACAAACAGGGACTGTCAGATATATCTGGAAGATGCTAAATTGGGGAATGGAAAGCAGACCTCTATCCTGTATCATCTGGTTGCAATCCAGAAGTACACCTATGTTTTATTTATAAATCAACAACAGTAATTACTAGATGACTTTGAAACTGAGTTTAGCATAATTATACTTGGCTTTCAGTTATGACTTGCAGCTGAATTATGCAAATTGATTCTTTGGAGGAAAAAAAATCAAAGGCAATTTTTGCATCAAATTCTTTACACATGCATACATACACACGTTGCCTGATGCTGCAGTCACTCCTTGTGAACCCTTTTATGCAGGCTTTGTGCACTTCTCCATCGAATAAAGGACATTTAGTATTATAGACTTACCTGCCCAGCTACAAAACCTTATTCTGCTTTTCCCTCAGAGAGCCACCCACTCCAACACTCAATAAAAAGACACACACACATTTGCTCTCTTTTTATTTCTTTAATTGCAGTTAATACAAAGATTCCAAAAATAGAAAGAGTTCATAATGGCAACAAGTGCCAGCTTCAAGTTTTGGGATTTTTTTTCAATTAAAACATTAAAAACAAAACAAAAAAACAAAACAAAAACCCAGCAAGTGAGGACATGTGATAAATTTGTACAGTTTAATGAGTAGGGGAAGCCGGGGGCTCTTGTTCTTCAAAAGCCAACAGCTTCCACTTCTTGTATGAAATGGGAGCACCAAACATGACTGGATGTAAAAGGTACCATAACAAGTGGGTGTAGATTTATGTGTGTTTGTGTCTTTAGTGAAGTCAGTACGTGGGGCAGCCATTAAAGGCACGGCCCTGGTAAAGTGCTGGGGCCGCCTCGTGGCTGAAGTTCTACCCTCATTAACCACTGGGTTCAATCAAGGCACGATCCCAAAATGGTAGTTTGGACCCAGGAATCCTTATGGCTCTAAAACATGATTTACAATCTTGACGCAGAGTGGGCATGAGCATTCAGGGGCAACAGGGCAGGTGGCGGTACAGACTGAAGTCCTACAACCACCGTTTCCCGCTCCACCCAGGATTGTCCAAGGGGATTCATCACCGTGCCCACATGACTCTCCGCAACCCGTTTCTTCCCCCAACTTGGTAAAACCAAGTCTACCTCTTTTGGATCAAGCTCATTTCATGCAGATCCCTCCACACAAGGACTGCGATGTTGCCCGCTGCAATTTAGTGAGGAGAATACAAGGGTTGCCTTCCTCTCATCTTAATCCCGTCCTCTTTAAGGCTAAAACAAAACAAAAAAAAGATTCTACAGCAAATGTAGAGCATGTTTTGCTGGCTTGGGGGAGGGAAGAAACCAGGTATCGCTGGTTACAGCAGGGGTGGGAAACCTGCAGCCCTCCAGGTGCTGCTTGACCACAATCCCCAGCATCTTTCACCACTGACCATACTGGCTGAGGCTGCTGGGAATTGGCTTTCTTTCTCCCCGCCCCCCGCCCCCTTCAGGTGGCAGCATCTGAACCTCAGTCCAACAAAAGGCTAGAACCAGTTTCATCTTGAAGAAAGGGCTGGGACAGCTGCTGGTATGAGAAGGAGGAAGGAAGGAAAAGAGAGGCAATTAGTCTTCTGCTGACACAGAGCAAAGACCAAGCTGTGAGAATAGCCCCAACCAGGAAGGGAAAACAAAGGTTTTGTTCTTTTCAACCTTCATTAACTTTGCAAAGTTTAACAGCATCTCCCGGCTTGTGCGCGGAGAGAAGCAGCAGCTGACTGAACTGCAAGGGAGGGAGGGAACTTCCTTGCTGGAAACTTACCCCCTCCTGCCCTCCCCCAAACACAGAATCTGGACCCTCAGCAGGAAAGATCCAAAAGGCCCAGGATAATGAGGCCAGGGAACTATTGGGGAGAACAGCACCCCCCTCTCAAGCACTGACTGAAGTTTGGCTAATCGTGCACACACGGCCTCACGACTCCACTGAAAACCAATCAGCACACTAAAACAAGGATGAAAACATCAAGTAACAAATTGGTCAGGCTAACAACTGGCTGGTCAACCAACAGCAGAGCTCAAAGCTTTGGTCCTGAGGTGATGAGATGACCTGCAACTTGCCCGCCACCCCTTAACCAATAAGGCAGCACCAATTTTTTTAAAAAGAGCCCGATGGACTCCACCCCTTTTCCTGCCAGCCCTATAATGGCTAAACACAGTCCCTTGCAGTATATTGCTGATGGTGGGGAAAAGGAGAAAAGCAAGCTGGCATTTGGTTGCCCCTGCTCTCAGTGGCACTTGAAAAACACACGTTCACAGTATGTCAGGCACAGTTAGAAAGGACAGAGGACCGTAACACTAGGAAGTACAAAGAGAAAAAACAATGTCCATGGGCAGCTCCCTGCAATATAAATATTAACAAAAAACTCCAACTACTTTTGGTTGCTTGGAGCTGAAACCAGCTGAAAATGCATTTGGGGAGGGTGGAATAGGAGAGGCCACACAGAAGAGGCACAGTTGCTTGCTGTCAAGCAGCTGCAGTACAGAGACAAGAAGGCAGTTGTTAAGGCAAATGACATGAAGCAGGCTTGTGCATACATGGAAAATCTCCTAGCTTCTAACAGACTCATCCCCAACTCACTGTCACCATCCAAGGGGCTAAGGACTGTCAAGTTATAATGATGGATTCTAGAGCAAATCCTGAGTGGGAAGTCAAGTTATGCCTTCAGCATCATCAGACGAGGTAAAACCACCAGGGGACAAACGTCAAAATCCTTCCATCTTTCAGGCAAGCATTCACGCTGGAAGATGGTGGAAGAACTGGGTTGAGGCTAGGCACCCTATTAATATGGCAGCCTCCTAACTGGGTGCAGTTTAAGGCAATGAAGTCACCTGGCCCCCAAAAAGCAAATCAAGTGCAGGAACACTATCTTTGAGCAAATAAGGAGTGTGGCATTGGTGGGGCTGGCTAGCTTTGTCCTCACTAACGCTATGTGCTACTAGGGTTAGAGGGTTGTTGCAAAGGGTTTTCTATGTCTTGCCTTTCAACAGAGGAAAAACACAACTGCAAGACAGGATGTTGAAACAAATGAACACGCACAAGGGAAAGGGCTTCCCAAAGCCAGCAGGGCAATTAGGCCAAGGCCTGGAACCAGAGGTATGAAGCAAGGGCAGCTTCATAAAACATCTTGAAGGCAAAGAAAGCAACTCCTTCAAAAAAAAAAAAAATCCAGGAAATTCAGAGGATCCAACATCAGGAGATCAGGCTAGAACAGAAGTATCTGGGAGCGTGGAGGCGGCCATCCTGACTCCCTGCCAAGAGATGAGAAGTCTCCAAATATTTTAGCCTGGGGGCTGTGTCCTGAATAAGAAGCACTGCCAAGAATATGTAAAAGCAAGTGAGAAGGATCTACCTTTTAAAGAATCCATCCAAATCATTTGGCATTGCCTTGGGCTGGGGGGAAGGGAAGGGAAGGGAAGGGAAGGGAAGGGAAGGGAAGGGAAGGGAAGGGTCCCCTAAATGTTGGGGTGCCTTGCAGTGCATAGATACCAGCACTATTGGGAATGGGGTGGGGTTATTTTGGATGTCCCTGCTCTTGGTGGAAAGGCTAGAAGCTCTAGCATCCAGCCATACCCTGGTTGGAAACTGCTCTGGCACTGCACAGAAGGCAGCCAGGCAGGTTATTGCCTCCAAAGTGCTTGTATCTGCCTTGTGGCAGGGTGATGGGGAGCAATTGCACTGTTCCCTTTCCCTCCTGGCCAATAGTGAAGGCACAGAGTGAAAAAAAGTAGTTCCCCAGTGGCCACAGCACTAGGAAAATTAGGGTGCCCTTAGCTGGCCGAGGCTGGTGTAGACATCCTCCGCTTCACTCAACTCCTCAAACACAGGAATCAGGTTCAGCAGCTCTGTGTCTGTCATATCATCAAACCAAGACTGGACTGGCACCTACAGGGCAGTCAGGAAGATAAAGTCAGTTGGAAGCACACAAGCAGGAAACAGGACATCACATTTTGGAAATACAGAACCACCCAAACAAAACTGGGATCTGGGGAGTGGCATTAAAATGTAAGAGCAATTGCTTAACTCTTGGCTACATCCCCTTGGGCTTATGAAGAGCCTTCCTGGATCTGGCCAAGGCTAGCTTCTCGGATGCTTTTGGGGTCCTTGCAAGCTGGAGATGGAGGTATAAGCCGCCCTGCTCTTATTCCTCTGCAATGGGTATTTGGGGGCATACTGCTCCCAAGTTGGGAGGCAACCTTGAGATTTTTAAGATCGAGAGCCTTTGATAGGCCTGTCTTTCATGAATGTATTCAAGCCTTTTAAAGGTTGTCCAAGTTAGTGGCTATTACTCTATATTGTGGTCATGAATTCCACAGCTTCATTATGCATTGTGTGAGTTAGTGGTTTTTTTCTGTTTTAAATCTCCTTCCATTCCAGCTCAACTGGATGACCCCTGGTCCTAGTGTTTTGAGAGAGGAAGAAAAATATCCCTATCCACTTTCTCCATTTCATACATTTATTTGGTAGACTTTGATCATGACCTAACTGAAGAGCCACAACCTTGCTAGCCTTTTTTTTTTTTTTTTTTTTTGTAGGGAAGGTGTTTGGACGTTCTGATCATTTTGTTTACATTTTTCTGGTCTTTTTCAAACTTCACTAGATGCTTTTCCAAATGTGGCAACCAAAATTGTACTCAGTATCCCTAAAGTATACAGTATGTGAAGTTGGGAGGGGAGTGTTCCAATGTGTATCGCTTAGCAGGTAGAGATGGGTCTGTCCTCATACCAAACATATACTAAGAAGTTCGATTTTAGAAAAGGAGCTAGGAGCCAGACGTATTCTCAGGTGTATCAAAAACCACACAGTAACAATAGACCCAAACAGTTTACATAATCTAATAGAGGCAAGACTAATCAGACAATAAGCACTCATTACTACGGCTGATGTCATTAGTTGTCCTCTGTGAAATCTTGGAAGGGCTGAGTTCTCTTGTGAACATGTTGTCCCACAGGACAAGAGTTAGAAGCGTGTGGTTATGGCAGTTTTTTCGCACTGGAGAGTGAAATCTGAGAACTGTTTGAAACTGGCTTTAAGAAAAGGGAAAATATTTCAAAATATTAAAGAGGGAAACCAAGTGGCATGTTACCACGATGATGCCACTTTACAATGCAAGAAGGCAGATAGTGGCTGTATGAATGCCAGTTGAAGAGAGGGCATTACCTGAACTCTCTCTCTCATTATAATCCCTGCACAGAGGACAGTATTCAGAAAACTGGGGAAAATAGCAGAGGAGGAAGGTGAGGGAGAATTTCTCCGTAATCTCTACATGGGGACTGGAAACTCTTGCAATGATAAGGCAACAAAGAAGATCAGTATCTGCCTCTGCATTGTTACCATAAACTCTGGCGAGGGATCTGAGAAGAAGCATTCCCCCTTTCGTCACTGAAGAGGGAACGCCACTTCCAGAGCAGACCTTCAGTCATCTGTGCATAACTCAAGAATGTAAATGTCACAACAAGCACCACCTTAAAGGGAAAAGCAAGGGAACACTCTTGAAGATGCTGTTGGTGTTGGTTTTGATCCCTAAAACCAGATCAAAACACTTGTTAGCTAAGTGATCTATCAAAACTGGAACTACAAATGAATCTACAGTCCCACTCCCCAGCCATCACTTATGGAAGGGTAGAGAGTAATGCCCACCGCGTTCTCTGGATGGAAGATGTAGGAGGCTGGAGAATTGTCTAGGATCAGGGTTTTGCGCAGATCACGGCCCAGCCGGCTAAGATCCTTAACGTAACATCCCTGGTGGAACACACACGACTCCCGGAAGAGGCGGGCCCGGAAGACTCCACATTTGTCCAGAAGGTCAGTTACTGGGTCAGCATACTGGCCAGAATGACAGTGAAAGATATGAGACTGCTTTTTGCATACAAGCAAAACAACAACAACAACAGAATCCAGCAGTCAGACAATCTGAATTCTATGCCTCTACAAGCAGGCCCCATAAATGCAGAATTTGCTACTTGGCATTGATTCTTTTAAGTGAAATCTTATGGATTTGGCAATCATATTGGTAATGGCTCAGTGAGAACACCAACCCTTCCCACGCCATCAGTCTTTAAGCACATTGGACCTCAACTCTAGGAATTACTTTTGACATGCCAGATGGAAATTTGGATGGTTAAAAAAACCACATCTATAAAACACCCACTTTAACAAGGCTATCTCATACATACGCACAAGCAATTGTGAGTCTGTGCAGAATTTTCAGTGGTCAGTTATTAGTAAGGACTTAAACTCCCTGCAAATCTAAAACTACATCATACCCATTTCACAAGATTTAAGTGACAGATTTCTTTTTATTTTAGCATTAGGCAGCTTGAAAGGCACCAGACAACTCTCCGTTTGTCTGAAGCTCCGTTTCAGGCAACGCCATCTTGAACCCACTCACCTTAGCTAAGCTGGCAGTGAACAGCACACACTCAAACAGCTCCCCCATCCGCCTCAGGAATTCATCTACAAATGGTCTCTTCAGCACATACACCTAGAGATTAACAGAAAGGTGAGGAGACGGTACATAAAGTACTTGCTTATATCTGCAGCTTGCTTTAGAGCTGGAACAGTGGAAGGACAAATTTAAATTCAGCGTCACCAAAATATGCAAGCGTGGCAAACATTTTAAGGGTGAAATGGTAGATGGAAAAGGGTTGGCAGACTCCTTCTCCAACCCATCATTCTTTTTTTGTGTGTGGGGGGGTAACTTTTATTAAAGATTTTTTTAAAAAGAAGATAACAACTAGTACAAACTAATATAAAGTGAGAAAAAGAAAAGAAGACAGGAATCAAAGAAAAAGCTAAAAAAGCAAGAAAGGGAAAAAAGTAAAATAAAAAATAAAAAATAGCTTCCAATCTTTACAGCAGTTATAAGTACAATTATAAATATACCTCTTACTCTCTGGTTACAACACAGCTCTCTTTTTTCTATAATCTATTCTGCCTAACCATCAAAACCATAAATCATAAGTTCATTTTTTTCTGTTTCATGCAAAAGGTCTATAAGGGGTTTCAGTCAGCACTAAACATAGATACTGTCTTCTCTCTGATCAAAGATCCAACCCATCGCTCTTATTTCACAATCCATCCAACCACATGTCCTTCCCTTCATCGCTCAGACTTCTCTCATCCTCCAGAGTCTGGCAAGATACATGGGGGAAGAGGGGAGAGGAACAGCATTTCCAGACTCTATTCATATTATTATTTGGCAAACATCCAGTTAGAGAGATCTGTGTTTGCTCAATAAAGTGAATGAAGGGTAAGGGAAAATTTAGCAGGATTGGAAACCTAGGTTTGCAAGCATAATAAGTGATCTCAGCCTAAGTTCTGGAACAGCTGCAACAAATTTAATTTAATTTTTTTTCCTTGCAAATTCTGGGAATTGCACTCCCAACCCATCTTGAAAACATCACATTTTGGAAGTTGCCCTAGATATTCAGTTTCTGATAATCTCAAAGGTGAGAAGCCCCTGGAGGAAAGGTGGAATATAAATCTAACAAATAAAATAAGAATGGAAGGGAAGAAGGGCAGATCACTATGGTGAAACCTCATACTGTACCTCCCCAGTGTCACCAATGAAAGCCAGCATGATGAACTGGTTGAGGTATCAGCCTTGGACAGGAAGACCTTGGTTCACATCTCTGCTCAGCTATTACGCTCAATAGAGGACACCATGTCTTAGTCTAAGATATCTCACAGGAATTTCCTGTAAAGATAAAAAAGGCAGGAAGGACTGACTACCCTATCCTAAATTCCTTGGAAGAGTACACTTTAAAAAAAATTATGATATGAACAAGAAGTATACATCAGATAATTATATTTACTCTATGAAGCAAGCAGACTTGCTACCATAAGACTCAAAAAAGGTACATCCAAGCTACTACTTTATACTCTGCTATATATTCTCTATAAAGGACACTCCCCAAAAGGAGCAAGGAGACAAGCTGCTGGAATGTGTTGAGTATAGGCCTTAAGTGGCTTTATTTATTTTACAGAGGTTGGTTCCTTAGATGGCGTTCTTCTTATTAAGAAAGCTGCACCAGCTGGCTGGTTATTGCCTATTTGCAGAATCTTTTAAACTACATTTCCAGCTTCACCACAACCACCACTGTTGTAACACACTAAGTTAAAATCTGTAAAGTCATTTACAAGCACGCCTCCTCCTGTTGATAGGTAAGGAGTAGCTATCCTATCAGAAACCAACTGCAGGATTGTATAGCTACGATTTCAGACATTTTAGGGAACAGGGTACTGAAACAAGCATAATTTAAGTCCCAACAGTCCTTGGTGATCTCTGCCATCCTTCACCCGGTGACTTTTCCTCTCTGGAAGTTCCTGCTGTTGTATCATCCAACCAGGGAGGTCACTACGGTAGAACCTCATTCCTATGTGGCAAGAAGCCGCCTCCTGAAACAAGTAATCAAGAATAGGCCGTGTTGCCTGGTAACAGCCTATCCTGGATTACTTGAACCAGGCTGAGACCTTCGCTGCACGGCCTTCCTCCTCTTCTCTTTCGCAGGTCATCTTGGCTAAGGGAAGAGGCCTAAACATCCACATGGTCCCAGAAGCAAAGCAGCCCAAAACCTATCCAACCCAACTCACTTGGAAGAGGAAGCAGCTTACCTCATGGGTTGTTCCCTCTATTTCAACCGGCACAATGAAGTCAGCATTGTTGATTGGCTGAGAATTTTGTTAAAAGAAACATGTTAATTTGGCAAGCAAACCCTGCGCCATTCTCCCCCTCCCCAGCAGGACCTCCCTCCCAAATTTTCTGCCTAAAGGCAGCTTCTGACTACTTTCCAGGATTTTTTAAAATGATATTATTTAATAGGCTTTGCTTTGTCTCATTTTTTTTAGGGACCATCTTAAATGCTTGAAGCAATATATATCAAAACCCTAAATTCCTGATGGGTCAGGGAAATAAGCATTCCACCGTGCTACTTCAAGCCTCTGACAGATTCTTCCCATTTGCTGATGAGGGCCACCAACACACATTTGTTATTATCTAGATCAGTGTTTCCCAACCTCAGCAATTTTTAAGATGTTGTGGACTTCAGAATTCTCCAACCAGCATGATCTAGAGTAAGCAACACAGTGCCCCCACCAAGAAGCTTTGAAATCACAGAAAGCAGGGAGCTATTCAAGGGTTTCACCTTGAAGGAACTGTGCACTAAGGTCTCATCCAGGTCAATCACCACACAGATTCGGCCCTGGTCTTGCTGAGTCACCTCAGGGAGAAGACATGTTCCAGGGATCTAGAAAAAGAAAGGTAAGCTTAGCTTCCACTGGCTGCAGGAACCACATTTTATGATGTGTGCATGTGTGTCTATTGTGTTCTGTTTTAATTTTACAAGTTTAATTTTGCAACTTTATATTACAGCTGTGCAGGGCTTTGGATGTGAATGGAGCGCATGTACATAGCAGCTGTCAGCAACTCCTACAATCCACCAGATCTTTTCCCAGCATTAAGCTGCAACTGCCTGCTCTGGGAACAGCTGCAGCTGCTTTAAGGAATGGTTTGCAAGTGAGCCTTGTCTCATGTCCCAACCCCCCATTTTCTTTTTCAATCTAAGCTGCTGCCCTGCTCTGCATGTCATCCATTCCCAAATGGGTCTGAGCAGCTTACCAAAAATTATGCTGTTGGGAGGTATATTTAACAATCTTCATGCACTTATATTAACAAGTGCAATATTCCGCCTTTTAGAACTTATTTTAGCAACTTATCCACTCTGTTTGCAGAGGAAGACAGCTTGGCAAAAAAACCCTAGGCCCATTATTTAAAATTTAAATTTTAGATCCTTACCCCACACAATAGAGATACTCAAAAGGGCTCTTCTTCTAACTAATAATTTATTTTTAATTTACCGTTGTTTTTAATGCAGGGCTACAACTAATACAGGTGCTTTTTAAAATGTACAATGATTCCAGTGTTATAAATCGTAGGTCCCATATCTCTCTCTATTATCCATCCATCCATCCATCCATCCATCCATCCATCCATCCATCCATCCATCCATCCATCTCCCCATGCCTACATTAAAGCCTCAATGACTTAACTTTATCTTTATGCTAAGGATGTGCCATTGCCCGATTTAAGTTACAATTCTTTTCTAAAACTTTCTAAACACAAAGCAAGTCATATTATATATTCTTTCACAGACAAGTACATTTCAGCATTTGGTCTGAATAACTGAATATGCCTTGAATTTGCAAATTGTGTTGACATATTCAAATTTTGTACAGCAAACATCAGATCCCTTTCCAAAGTAGTCACTGCCATTTAAAGCTCAGAAGGTACGTGCATTTTTTAAAATGTAAGCCTACCTTTGTGCCATAAGTTGACCTGTAAATGTTGCAACCAGTATTAACTGGGTACTTTTATTTATATTTTACCTGTCTTGTTTTTATCTTTGAAATGTATTTTTTATGATTTTATTGTGTTTTATCATACTTTATTGCATTTTTATGTCTGCTGACCACTACCCTAAACACATCTGCTGCCAAACTAGGATACAAATTTAGGAAATAAATATATGCAGAGACAGTGGGTGCACTGTCCCACATTTCTGCTCACTACAAGATTTCTCATCACACTCAATGGAAACTTGCAAATTTTTAGGCAAACAGGTAGCAACTTCCTTCTTTACTACCACTTCATTCTTCACCTTGGCATTTTCAACCTCCAAGGAAAACTGTCTCTATTTATTTGACAGCCAACTACATTTTCCAGGAATGATTTACATGTTGATCCATGTTGTTGGCATGCGGGGGGATACCGCTACCAGGCAGAGAGACAGTATGTGTGTGCACATCAAAGAAGGAGCAGTAGTCTGCATTCAAGAATATGCTCTGCAAAACCCCAAATTGTTATTGCCACGATAAAGCTATAGTCATCCCAAGATATCTTGGTGGCCTCACCAAGATTTACACAAAACCGCAGATAAACCTGTTTCTGGATTCTATCATTTCTGGCTGCAGGAATGGGCTTGAGAACATTAACTTTCTACTCAGGAATGAACTCTTCTTGTAGTTCAGCCTGTTCCCTGATGTGCAGAAACTTCCACACCCCAAATGGGAAAATGGTCAGTCCTGTGAATCCTTACCTGCAACTGACAGAGGAATACTACTCCAGAGGAGAGTTTTGCTAACTCATTTGCTCCCAGTGTGAATTACACCATGCCACATCCTGCTCTCAGAAATTTGCTCTCAACAGCACAACAAAGAAAACCCCATCTCACATGAGATGAATAGAAATCTGCTTAGTCAGAGAAGGATCATTTCCCTTTGTTCACATATACAAATGTGAACGTTCCTGAGTGCATACACATACAGAGGCAAGATTGTTACACTAGGTGAGAGCTGGGTATCTACTACATTATTTTCTTTCCTTTTTTTTTTTTCACCCTTGTTGCCATACAAACATCAAAACTTAGTTGCAACTAAATCTCAGTGAAAATACTGGCGATGCTGAACCAATGGACACAATGAACCATTGTCTGATTCATAGCAAGCAGGACCCCAAATGCAGCTATTTGCTGGCCCGTATTGGGAATTTTCTCTCAGTGGGGAGCGACCTATGCATGCCGTTTACAGAGGGCAAATGAAGACTTAGTTGAAGAGCAGATACGGATCTCTCTTGCCTTTAGAACAAACACGTACCTGATAAAACTGGTATTGAAGACACTGCAACAGATCAGACTAAAAGGGGGGAAAAAAAGAGGAGAGCAAAGATGTAGGTTTATGAGAAAGATGAGACTGTAATACTATTCCTCAGGGATTTCAGCAAAGTCTTCTACCTCCCTTTGTCAAGGAACAGCATTTCAAAGGCTGGTTTCACACACTGCACATTTCTCACCCAGAACAGTCATGGCGAATGAAGAAAGGGTGGCCGGGGGACTCTGAAATACTGCAGGCACTACATGCTTCAAAAGCTTAGAGCAGTGTTTCTCAACCTTGGGAACTTTAAGATGGGTGGACTTCAACTCCCAGAATTCCCCAGCCAGCATGGCTGGCTTAGTGTATATTTTGAGAAACACTGGCTTAGTGTATATTTTAGAACTTGATTGAGGAGCAGGAGAGAGCTTTCATTTTTAGAGGAGAGCTCACCCAATTTAATTCTGCACGGAAACTCTTCCCCTTAATACTTTAAGCACTGGAATAGGAAACCCAAGTTTAGCAGTGAGGGGAAGTTTAAGTCTGTCAATGCAGCCCAAGTCTCCTCGATTAGGCTGCAGACATTTGGGACAATAGACAGAAATTAAGCAGCGCTCTTACTTATAGGCATTTAAAAAAAAAAAAAAAAATCACAAGCAAAATAGGTGCATTACATCTCCATTAGGTTTATACCTAATTTATTTAACCAGGCCAAATTTTAAAAAGGGAAAAGGTGACAAATGATTTTAAAATCTCCTGCTCACAAAAAGGTTGCCCGTCCCTGCTATGCATCATGCAAGTTCTTTTCTTTATGGTGGAACTTAATTTCCTCTTTTTAAAGAGGAGAGAGACGTAGCCACAGGGGAGAGACAATGAAACTAAGCTACGTGGTTTTAAAGAAGGGATAGGTATGCGTCATCCACTGTGATTTTTAACTTTTTTTTTGTCTGCTTACACAACTATAGAAAATAGACTAAAGCCCATTTCTAGATAAAATGGGCTTGCCTGTCGCTGATCCACTCTCCCATTGTGATTAGCTGTGGCTTCCCAGCCCAGGGAGAAGCAGAGAAATCTGCAGATGGGCAATGATTGCAAGTTATTTCCTCTTCCTATGTGATAGCACTCTCCGCAGATACCAGTAACACAGCCTTCCCTAACTGGGCCTCTTCTTGATGTGTTGAGACTGCAACTCCCCAAATTTCCATCTGCAAATTCTGGGAGTTTCAGTCCTTACGCAGCAACAAGGTGTTGGGTTAGGGAAGGCTGCCATTATGTGTGAAACAGTCCTAAAAGCAATTGCTTTCAATACAACCAGGTATCTCCCTGCTGCAGGCAATTTTATAAAAGAACAAAGAAGGAAGCCAGTGAGCTTTCCACAAAGACTGGTGTTTTTCTGAGCACAGGATAGAGGGTTGTCTGCTTGACAAAAAGGAGATAGATACAGACGGGAGAAAATTAAAAGCAAGAAAGGACATTCACTGACAGAATAGCAATGTGAGCATTTAAGGCCTGGGGAAGCAGGCAGAGTTTATATCCTAAGGGCACATACTGTACATCTGGAATGCCAGAATCCAGAAAGGAAAAGAATCACACAAAAGTAGCCCCCACCCCACTAGCTGTGCTTGCAAACTCTCTGGGTGAGTGGATTCAGTTGTCACTGCCCCCGCACTCCCTCACCTTGGCAATGGTGTTTGTCTCTTCCTTGTGCAGCCCATGATTGGCACCAAAGGCTGTCTGCCCAACATTCTGTGCACGAAGGCAACAGAAAAGAGCCTTGAAGATGCTCCGGCCACGAGGCTTCTTCGGGGAGGATTTGGACACCAACACTGCAAACAGAAGAACAGTTACAATAAGATCCTGTTACATTCACAAACAGGCCTGGAGCACAGGAGAACACTTCATCCACCTGGGGCAGGCATTTTTGGCATGCCACCCTCAGGGACTTTGGATGATGGTCTACCAGAAATAATCAACTTAAGACAAAACAAAGAATCCTTTTCCACATTCTCAATTGTACTCTGCATACAAGTGCATGAAATAGCCATGGGACAACAACATGGATGCGGTGGCGTAGCGGCTTAATAACGCTGGAGTTTGCCAGCCAGGAATGGTTGACGCTCCAGCGGTTCGAGTCCAGCTCCGCGTGACGGAGTGAGCTCCCATCATTCGTCCCTAGCTCCTGCCTGCCTAGTAGTTCGAAAGTATACCATCTGCGAGTAGATAAATAGCTACTCCCATTTTGGTGGGAGGAAACGCTGGTGGTGCTCTGCACAGGGAACAGGAACCGGTGCTGGACCTGCCTAGACGCGATCGGCAGAAGATCGGTGAAGGAAGAAAGCCCAGATGAGCTGACTTCCCCGTGACCACTGCTGCCCCGTAGAGAAATTAGTAATTGTTAAATAAATGATGTTGTACACCGCCCAGAGTTGCTTGTGTGAGATGGGCGGCATATAAATGTGATGTATAAATAAATGTATAAAATAATGGATCCATCATCCATAAATACATCTCCTCCCTTCTTTGCTTTATTACTATATTCCACAAGTCAATATTTAGCTTTGGGGAAAGGACCTCACTTTCTCAGAACCAGCAGTCTAAGAAAATAATGAACAGAGAAGGGAATCTTGCATCCATGTCTCACAATGTTCAGGAGAAACCAGCAGGTGGCACAGTAGATCCACAAATATTGACCAATCCCTGCATGTTCTTGCATCACTGGCACTATGGGAAGATCAGGAAGACTCATGAAGTGGCTTACATACTGTACATACAGCCAGCTGGAATTGCCCAGAGGAAAAGAAAGGGGGCTGCACTAACCTGAGAGGCCTCCAGCTGTGGCCGCTGTGGCCTCTTCAAGTTTCACTGAGGACAGAACATATCCAGAAAGGATAACTAAAGATAGGGGCAGAAAATCATGAGGCTCCCCATGCAAGAAGTGGGACAGTTTCGCGGCAGCCAATGAGTGCCCCAGCTTCCCTCATCTTCACAGAAAGCAGGCCTTGGGACAAGCTGCCCTTCTACAATATTTGCACTGGAGGACTCTTACCATCCACCAACAACATTGTATTACAGCATCACAAGCATTCCTAGTCATCTTCAAAAGCTTATTGGAAGAAGGTGAAGGAACGACTGGGATTATTGTAACACATGACATTGGCCAGCCTTCTCCTACTTGCCATCATCCCAATGTTTAGCCAATGGCTGAAGACTGTGGGAGCAGTCATCCCAAATATACAAAGGTGTCGAGCTGGCCATAGAAGCAGGGAATTTGTAGGCTATAGTTCCCAATTCATGTGGAAGACATTGGTTGGAGAAGGCTGTTTTCATCTGTTGTAGTTCTTTCTACAGTGTAATTTTCTTGCACTGGCTAAAAGAGCTATGAAGAAATATCACTCCAAAGGTGCTCTTTGAAAATCAATCAATCAATCAATCAATCAATCAATCAATCTACAATAAGGCAACATAGGTTTAGGAACACTAAGGAGCCACAGGGCTCTTTGGATACTTTGGTGCAGAAGGAATGTAGGTTGCACTCTGCAATCTATGTATGCTTCCATGAGTCAGTCCAGTAAGATTTTTTGCCTCCGTGTGAAGAGTCTAGGCATGATTATCCTGGAGCAGCCCTCACACAATCCATGTTTTTTTACAACATAACACCCATATAAACTTGCCAAAAAAAAAAAAAAA